CCCGGGGGAGGGGAGGGGGGCGCGCAGCGGGGGCGCACCCTGCGCGGGGTCCCGGCGGAGGGAAAGGGAGGCGCACCCTGCGCGGGGACCCGGCGGAGGGAAAGGGGGGCGCACCCTGCGCGGGGACCCGGCGGAGGGAAAGGGGGGCGCACCCTGCGCGGGGACCCGGCGGAGGGAAAGGGGGGCGCACCCTGCGCGGGGACCCGGCGGAGGGAAAGGGGGGCGCACCCTGCGCGGGGACCCGGCGGAGGGAAAGGGGGGCGCACCCTGCGCGGGGACCCGGCGGAGGGAAAGGGGGGCGCACCCTGCGCGGGGACCCGGCGGAGGGAAAGGGGGGCGCACCCTGCGCGGGGACCCGGCGGAGGGAAAGGGGGGCGCACCCTGCGCGGGGACCCGGCGGAGGGAAAGGGGGGCGCACCCTGCGCGGGGACCCGGCGGAGGGAAAGGGGGGCGCACCCTGCGCGGGGACCCGGCGGAGGGAAAGGGGGGCGCACCCTGCGCGGGGACCCGGCGGAGGGAAAGGGGGGCGCACCCTGCGCGGGGACCCGGCGGAGGGAAAGGGGGGCGCACCCTGCGCGGGGACCCGGCGGAGGGAAAGGGGGGCGCAATAATTCTCCTGTTAGTATTTAATAAGTGCTTTGTTAAAAGAGGACCGGTCGGCTGCCTTCTGCCGGCGAAGAACTAGTAAGGGCTCCGGGGGGGCTCACACTGAGCGGCGTCCCGGGGGAGGGGAGGGTGCGCGGGGACCCGGCGGAGGGAAAGGGGGGCGCACCCTGCGCGGGGACCCGGCGGAGGGAAAGGGGGGCGCGCAGCGGGGCCGCGCACCGCGTTATACAGAAGGCCCGGCACGGAGTGCGATCTCCGCCGGAGTCACGACGTGACCGTTCAACCTTTTTCACGGGTGGGGGGGGCAAAAAAGGGAAAGCTCAAGAGATGGGGTGAATTACACACGCCCCCCGGCAAAAACGTGACTGAAGACACGGTAACACTTCCCCACCCCCAAAAATAAGCACTGAAAAAAGTATGGAATTACTGTGGTTTTTTTCCTACTTCAGCACGCCGGGGGCTAGGAACCGAGCGGGCACCGAGTGCTGCCACAGGTACCCTCCGCAACCCGGGACGGGCGGCACTGCCTCCTTCCGCATCAGCTCACGCCTTTTCCTAACGGTCTATACAGCTTTTAATTAAACACACGCATCCCCTCCCCTGCCCCCAGCGCATCCACCGGAGCCCCCCCGCCCGGCGGCGCAGAGCGAGGGAAGGAGGCGGAGGGGAAGAGGGCAGACCCACCACCACCCCCCCCTCACCCCTCTCTCCGCTCGGCGGGACGGGGGGCGCCGCCCGGCCCTGCCCCACACCGGGGGGCCCTGTCCCGCCTCAGCCTCTCCGGGGGAAGAAGGGTCAGGCGGCCCGGGGAAGTCGGCCGGCTCGGGGGAAGCCGGCAGCGGAGGGGAGGGAGGGCAGGCGGCCAGCGCCAGGCTGGCTGCCCCGCGCTGAGGAGAGGGACGGGCGGCGGGAAGAGCAGGGGCCGCCCCGGTGAGGAGAGGAGGGGATAGCGGGAGCCTAGCCGCCCCGCGGAGAACGCGGAGCCCTTACCTGGGCCGTACGGGCACGTCGCGCAGCCTTCCCCCCTCAGCGGCCGCGCAGGCTGCCCCCGGCCCGCCCGCCGGCGACGGAGCAGGAAGCCCAGCGGAGCCGCCGCCGCTGCAGAGGAGGAGGAACGCGCGGAGGCGGCGCGCCCGCCCCCTAACGGTGGCGGACCGGGACCGCAGCCCCGCCCCCGCCGCCAGCCGAGGGGCCGTCCCGGTTAGAGCCGGTCGTGGCAGTGGGCGCCGTCTGAGGGGACAGCGGGGCCTCCCCGGCGCCGGGATTGATCCCTGCCCGGCAAGGGCGGTTCCGGACTACAAGTTTTTGGATCATTTAATGAAAGCTGATTATTCCCCCCCAAAAAATGCCGTCGGTGTTTCGGCGCGCAGCCACCCGTCTGCAGGGGTGCTCGGTGTGCCCAAGAGCCCGCCCGGTGTCCCGGGCCGGGGGGGGCTGGAAGGCTGGCTGACAGCTTCATGCTTGGTTATTTTATATTTTAAACACCTCTGCCCCACCCGCCCCCAAAAACACATCAGAAGTTACCCTCTATTACAGAAAAGGCGTTTTCTGCTTTAAAAAAAAAACAAACCACCCCACAAAAACACCACAAAACAAACAAAAACTCAAAACTCCCACTTTTTTTAGAAGTATCTGATTGATCAGTCAGACGGGGCTGATCTGTGTTACTGCATAAAAAGAAAAGGTAATCCCTTCCTGTTCTTTATCCTCGGCTGTGCTTGTGGGTGCTTTTTTTTTTCTTCCTTTTTTTTTTCTTCCTTTTTTTTTTCTTCCTTTTTTTTTTCCTTCCTTTTTTTTTCCTTTTTTTTTTCTTTTTTTTCTTTTTTTTTCCCCCCTGGTACTGGTATTTGGTACTGGTATGAGTTGGCGTAGGGAGGGAGATGGGCTGGAAGGACACAATTTTGTTGTGTGGAAGAAGATGTGTGTTGGTGATACTCCTTCAGGTGGACTATGGCCCGGGTGGTTACAGAGAGGGCCGGGGCAGCCGACAGCCAGGCATGGTCGATTCCATTCCACTGCTGTCAAACCACAAAATGAGCATTTTTGCAACATCAGGGTGACACTTCTCTTAGCAGAGAACAAAGCCCCAGCTAAAATATAGGGCATATCACACATCATCAAAGTCAGGTAGACTAAAGGAGGTTTCTATGTCTTATTTTAACTACATCTTGTCAACAGATCTTTCTTTTAATGGATTTGAAATAACATACTTTGATACCAACTGCTCCTTGGTAGGGGATGGTTATTTGAACATCAATCAAGTAATTTCTTTAGTAAATTCTCGCAACACATTGCAGTTTCAGGCGTACTGTAATCTCAAAATGAGCAAAGAAATATCCATTGGGAGCGTTGCTCAAGGAAAAAAAAAAGTCCTTATAACTTTTAATTCTAAATGATGATATAGATCTATTTTAGTTTGACATTTATTTCAGTGCTTAATATACGAAATTTCACCGTGTTCCCCTGATTACTTACTAGGTACTCTGTCTATATAACAGACCAATAACGTGAGTGTGCTAAAGGAGGCTGGCTCCTTTGATAAGCCAATGTTTGCTATAGAAACAAATATTTTAAAAAGATTACGTAAGTAGCAGTATCAAATTATTAAATGAAGAAATAATATTATCTGTACAATAACCAATTCCTCAGATTACATCCATATCAAAATCAAAGAAACATATAGGGTGGGAATGGCCGCAATTAAATCCTGCTGATTATTTACCTGGCTGAAAGGGTGCCACACGTGGCAGCTGGAAGGACCCCAAAGAAGAGGGGTTACGCCAGCCCCCACAGTGTCTCAAGAAGTCTTGGAGTTCTTCTTTTCCCTATTTTGCTAATTTGTCTTATAATTCTCCTTTCCTTTTTTTCTAATTTTTTTTTTTGGTAGTTTGGCTTACAATGAAATGGCTACAGCCATTAAGTAAAGGTCTTCCATAAGAAGTACAAATAATACCTGTACCTATGGTATTTCATTTTGCTTTTTATTATTATCTGTGATGAATTGACCATTTTTGTTTCTGTAGATTAAGAAATTCAGTGTGAAACAGAATGTGTTTCATAGCCACAGATGTTCTAAATGTTTCATGGTGATGTAATGTATTCTAAATTTACAATTTTCAAATCCAAATTGAGTATATTTATTTAAAACAATAAAAGAACAAAATAGCTTGGTTTTATCCTTACATTGTAAACTCTAAGAAAAATATATACCCTAAGCGTTTGTTTAGGAAACATCAAAAACCAAAGTGTCTTAAGGATTCAGGTACATTGGGCCTGAACAAAGATGACCTTGTTGGTCTTGCTTGCATTTTTGACAAGTTTCTTTGCTCGTGTCTCAAGCATTTGACCTCAACTTACTTTCTTGTCTCTCACACAAGTCCTAATTTTTAGTATGTGAAGTTATAGCACTGCACTATGTTTTGTTTTGGTTTTTATTGAAAATGAAAACATTTTCTTCATGTGGTTACAGGAAAGTTAAATGTGATGCATGCCTTATTTAGCATCCTAGGGCTAATGGGGATAAATGTAAACAAAGCAAAATACAGAAGCAAACTCTTCCAGGTGTTTTATATTTAGGCTGTTGGTAATAGATTGCCTCTGGTAATAGATGTTCTGCTAATCAGTCATCAGTCTTGGTTCTCAGTTCTGGTATCAAAGCAATTCCTGGTGGCTTTTAAAACATTTTTTTTAAAGCACTTTTTCTCAAAGCACTTTTTTCCTATAAGCCTAAACGTTATGTTTATATGTTATAAACTAATAGATCTGCCCTAGCGGGTCTTTCCGTGGCGCTTTGAATGAGGCAGCCTCAGGCTGCTGGCAGAGACCCAGCTCTCCCAAATTTAGAATATCTGTGGCATAAAAGTTACTTTTCTCAACACAGTAGC